AGTTGCGAGGCAAGGAGGGGCACTGTTTGTCCTGACGTGAAGAATTGCTTGTCAAGGCTGCAGACAGTATGCCGGTGATGGATGGCGGCGTATGGATGTTGGCTCCGATGCGGCTGTGCTCTGCTGTGGGGCGCGCAGAGGAAGTGAAGCACACAAATGCTCATTTATCTGCATGACTCTAAAGCTTAAAAAAAGGGGGACATAGTATGGGAAACCGACTTTGGTGATTGAAAAGTGAACGCATATATATTTGTTGTTTTTAAAGCATTTCACGACATCAACCGCGACTGCACATGTAATGGAGCTTTACTGTTTCCTCAAAGTTATTCCTTTTCAGATGAAAAAAATCAGGAATTTAGCAAAAATATAAAGATTTTCCCTAAACTGTCGGTGTATTTCCAGACTGGTCCTGGACATCATGGCCTCCGGCTGCCGTCCGTCCCCCAACCGCACGTTGACACTCATGACGGTCTGTCGACGACAAATTTTCAGCGAATGACTGCTGCACCCGATGAGCTAAATTGGCATTTACAGTTCACGATGTTAGAAAAGCTGTAAATGTATGAAGGAAAAAAGATTCATAACGTGGTCGACTAAACTGTTGTAAACACTGATCTTAGCTATGCTAATACACCGTTGTGACAAATAAAAACACCAATGATGTAGTGAAACATTCTTTATTCACGCCATTTTCTACTCCAGCTATGTTAAAAGTTAACATGTTTCAGTCCTCTAGTTCCTATGAACTCTCATTCATCTGTACACACTATATAAAAAAAAGTCAAGATAATATGTTTAGAAATCCAAGAGAGGGTCAATGTGGCGAGGAGAGCTCCTCAAATACCACATTGACTTCTTTTTTTCCTCCACCTTCCATTTTTTTTTTAAGACAAAGAGCATATTGAACAAGGCATTTGTAGCAGAGCTCAGAAATGGGGTTTGACATCTGTAAAGCACTTTTAAACTGTACAGCTCACGTCGAACAACACTACCGAGGTGGGTCACACACAGAGCATGAGTGGCAACGTGGAAACGTTCAGTCAATGTTTGGACTCACAAAACACAACACGATGTCGGGCGACGAAAAAAAAAAGGTACCGTAGAAGAAAGAAACCCAAACTTCTCTTTAATTTCTTAAGCATTTCATAGAAATAAAAACAAATAGGAGTAAACAAATAGAGACTATATTTACAGTGAGGTAAAACACATTGGTCTTTAAAATGGAGGTATTTTCTTTTTAAAAAGTGATCTTTTTTTTAGGTTATGATGATGATGTTCAGTTTCAGGATGACTACGACAAAGCGAATGGACAATCGCGTGCAGTCTTGGCATTTGAAAAGTGACAAAAAACAAACAAAGAAACATTGGTAATAAAGCTTCCTGCTACTTTTCACACCACAAGAGCTTCACTGCAGCCTTTCCGAGCACTTTTGGACCCAAGCCTTCTCATTGTGTAACATTGAAATCCCTGTAGGTGAGCGGTGGGCTACAACTTGCTCGTTTCCTGAACCGTTTTCCGAGCAACTCGTCCTCTTCACAGTGTGGATCACGTAAGCATAGAAACTAAATCGACGAACCTGTGCGGACGATGCTCTGACGGTTGTTTTGCATAAATAAAAAAAGAGAGTGAGAGAGAGAGGACGACCAGTGTTGCGGATATTTGCGCGCTCGCACGCTGCAGCCGTGACCTTTGCGTCGTGACGCCGCTTGTGCTCCCACTGGTCGTTCATGCTCGGATGCTGGCTCGATACATTCACAGCTGTTTATGGTCTGAGGTGGTAGAGCTGCTGGCATAGTTTTCGGTGTCCCTCTTTTTAGAGCAGGAAAACGGCTACTCGCCAAGAAAAGGCATACAGTACACGTGCGGTATACCTGACAGGCTTGGGAGACACCAAGTCGCTCAGACAAGGCAGCTCGCATCCTCTGATTGCTAAATCGGAATCGCAAACTGATTTTTTTTTTCCTCGAAGAGACCGGAATCGGTTTAATCACAATTCACTGAACCAGACAGAAAAGTGGACCGTGATGTTAAAAAGTCACTTTTAATTTAGTACAAATTGAAGGAGGGCTTGACCCGTATGGATTTTTTTGAGGCCCACGTCGATTCCAATATCTGGCCGAATAATATTCCGTTTGCAGATTAATCGCAGATTAAAATTAATTGCAGATTAAAAATAATTACAAAGAAATAAATCATGAATAAAATGTTTTCTTTTTTGGTCCCTTAACGCTTTACAAAGATACTAATGCGGATTTGACTCTTTCACAATATTTTGGCCAATAGTATTTTGTTTAACTTTTATAACAGAGCAAAATCAACCAATTTTAAAAGCGCTTATACTGGCCGATCAAAACAATGAGAGTTTGAGTATCCGTCCAAGTGTTTCCAAACATACCATCCCCGATCGGAATCGCAAAGAGATTTTTTTTTTCCTCGAAGGGACCGGAATCGGTTTAATCACAACTCACTGAACCAGACAGAAAAGTGGACCGTGATGTTAAAAAGTCACTTTTAATTTAGTACAAATTGAAGGAGGGCTTGACCCGTATGGATTTTTTTGAGGCCCACGTCGATTCCAATATCTGGCCGAATAATATTCCGTTTGCAGATTAATCGCAGATTAAAATTAATTGCAGATTAAAAATAATTACGAAGAAATAAATCATGAATAAAATGACTTCTTTTTTGGTCCCTTAACGCTTACAACGATACTAATGCGGATTTGACTATTTCACAATATTTTGGCCAATAGTATTTTGTTTAATTTTTATAACAGGGCAAAAGCAACTGATTTTAAAAGCGCTGATACTGGCCGATCAAAACAATGAGAGTTTGAGTGTCCGTCCAAGTGTTTCGAAACATACTATCCCCATTTGCGCATGTGCGTTTGTCTCAAGCGTAACTCAGAATTAAATCCAAATGAGTAATTCCGGTCGAGTGAAACCTGAGCTGAGCTGCAAGCTGCAGTGAAGTGTGGCCCTTGGTAGCGATGAGATTAGAGCTCACGGAATGACAAGAGAGGCGACAAAGCATCAAGGACGTCAAAAAAAAAATTGCCGGATGAAGACAAGGAGCTCGAATGTTGTGTTTTTGTACAGTCGGGTCACCTTGGGCTTTGAAAAGAAAAAGTACAAGGCTGCTGGTGACTTTTAAGACAAGAATGACAGATATCAGAGTTGAGACATACCAGAGGTGCTGCAGTTTCTGTCTTTTTTTGTGTTTTAAGTCATATTCCCAGAGAAATGACATTGCTAATGAAACAAACAAAGCCGCACAGCTACAGTCCCGCTTTAAATTTTGCGATTATTCCACCGACACCACAGTTCGCTTTGTTTTACAGAGGCGAGAGCTTATCAGGTCATCGCTCTCGCCGGTAACCTTTTTCAGTTCGACAGAGCAAATTAGAAATTTTCAGGTGTTGCCAATTACCCAGACCAAGATATTCACAATGTGATTCGATATTCAGATGAGATTATCTTGAGCGGAGTTCATCGAGGCCATTAGCATTCTTTTAGGTGATCTGGAAAGTATGTCCGATGAACACGCTTGATAAGAACTCCAAGGACAACTTGGGCGGGATCATTTCAACACGTAATTTTAGGAAACCACCAAGCCTGAGGAAAGACAGCCAATCAGGGACAGAGGGCGTAACCGACAAAGCCTGTGACTTTCGACTTCGGGAGGAAAAAAAAAAAATAATCCATTCAAATCTTTCAATTGCTCATCGTTAAAAAGGAAAGCGTATTGTACAAATAGGCGACATGTCAATACGTCACAAAGCTTACGAGGAAAAACATTGGAGACAAACACGTGGGGGTTGGGGGGGGGTCGAAGTGAACATGAATGGTTGTGGGATTTCGAATGCCCATGTAACAAGTTGCAGTGAAATTGATGTTTTGGTCTCTGCATTACAATGGCTTTTGACACGAAAAGCAAATGCAAACATATCCCACCATTGAAATTGGCCACAGAACAAACACGACTCCGACCAACAGCGAAACCAGGCGCTAGATGTGATTTGGGCTGTACGGTTTACCGGCATAACCTCGCCAAATTGGACCGGTTGCCCGCAAATTTTAACCAGAGATGGCTTTGTGTCCCTTCACGTATTTGAGATGCAGATTTAAAACATACCTTGTTTTTTCACATCAGGTTTGTCATCAATACTATTACATTCCGTCCGTTTTTCTGAAAACGTGCTAAAAAACAAACAAACAAAAAAACGAGGGCAGAGGTAGAATTAGCGCAATCATGAATCTTATTTCAACTGCTTGACTTTTGGAGTTTCAAAAGCCATTTCAGCATTTAGTCCATATTCTTGACATGAACGTATGAGTCTGCATATGGACCCGAAATTAATTTCCATTGGAGCCCGATTTTTGAAAGTTGTGAAGGGACGATTTTGATGGCAACGATGAACAACTTTTATCAAATGTCCTTCTTGCAGTTAGTTTTCATGACTTGTCGCATATGTACATAAAAGATCCTGTCATTGGTCCCTAAACTTTTAGCTCACAAGGATGATACACACACACACACCCACACACACAACATTAAGCTATGGCTTAGTCTACTTTGAAACTTAAATGTCGTTGGGCAATGTTTTGAATGGCCCCCCCTCCGCACTGCTGCACAAACGGAAGTCGAGCATGGAATTTAGATTTTCTGCTCGGGGTAACGTCCATCATTCTTTGAAGCGTTTGAAACGTTTTTGTGATATGCTGATTGTCCCTGGACAAAAAAAACAATCAATGGGGAGGACGAGCTGTCCGTAGAGTTGTTGGCCGAGGTGAGGGCAGGTCATGAAATGGCACCAGAGGGTCGAGGCTGGGTTGTTGTTAGCGCTGTGATGTGATCTTTCCTTTCCCTTCGGGACTTTTTTTTTGGGTGTGCATAGTACGAGCGACTGTATGCTCGGCCTCCTCTGTCACGCAAACATACACAGCTGCATACATGGCAGAAACGAATGCTTTGCGCAGCAGCTGGCATGCATCAATGATTTTTTTTTTTTTAAAGCACTGGCACTTTCCGGTAACAGCTGGACTGGACGGCATGGCGGCAGCTGATTGTTGTTGTTGTTGTTTGTGACTAGAGCAGAGTATAGAAAATACACATTTTAAATTGCATATGATGCAGCATGTTTTGCCACGAGTGAATGAGGTCGTCACGTCCAGTTTTGAGTGTTCAAAAGAAGAAAACGATGCCCTGCCACTCCAAAGAAAAGAAACCACAATAAATTAAACTGACCTTCACATCTCCATGATAATACAAAGGGGGAGACGGGGATATAATACATCAGTAAGAAAATCAAAACCAGGTGCAAGATCAGAGTAGCGATGAGAAATTTTGCACAAAATTCTGACCGGACCGCACAGACGGTGTCTTAATACTCTGGTCCATACTCCAGTCCTTGGTGCTACTCACCTCGACAACCATGATGAATAATAATGACACTCAAATACTATTCATCATGGCTGAGCTTCAAAGCCGTTTTTAAAAATCATCCAGGCAGACAGTGATTTATTTTGCTGCTCCCAGTACAAGGAAAATGCTTTCGAAAGAATCGCAAAGGACTTCTTCCTAATAATTTAGCTTGAGCATATGAGTTTCCACGAACTAGGGCAGCCACAAACAACTATCCGCGCTGTGCATTTCTCCACGGTCGAGTCAAACCAACGTTTTTTTTAACCCGAGACGAGAACGCATTCGTCTTGCGGGAGCACTTTTGTATAATGACATTCGTTAAAGAACGCGCCTTTTGTGTTGTTAAATTGTCCCCGTGGATTGGGCTAACGTGACATATCATCACATTAGAAGAAAAACGTACATTGGATGAACGCGAGTCGCTCACAGCCCAGCGAAGTGAATCATGAAACGCAAATACACAAATGAGGCGGCGAGGATGAATATGTAAGGCGGCTCAGCGGCCTCTCGGGCGATACCAACCGACTGTCTGCTTGCTGGATCTACCTGAGGATGTCTGAGCAATGAAGGCCCGTCTGGATGGACTCCTGTTGCCCAAAAGGGTCTTGAAGAGAGTCTTCCTTTCATGAGTGAAGGAACAAGGAGGAAAAACGGGTGAAGGCTTCCTTTTACGTCCACTCGTACTGCCCTCCTCGGGCACTGCCGTCCTTTCATCAAATTCAACCGTTGATCCGCCCGTCCGTCCGTCCGTCGGTGGATTCGGGTGTGCAAAACGCCGACAATGTCTTCGGTTCTAAATGCAAAACTCACCGTTCGGTGAGTGAAGGGTGAGAAAGAGAGAACACTGGGGAGATCATGTCTGCGTTTCCCTCCCGATCCGGAGGAGAGGAAAACCGAATGGATCGCCGAATGTCGATGAGAACGAATGTAATGCTAATGATACGGATGCCGGTCAGAAATGCGTCTGCGTGCGTGTTTGGTCGTTTGCGTTCTACATCTTGATTCCCTCCTGTTGACTGAGCTGGGAGAGGGTCTTCTTGATCCGCAGCGCCGTGAGTCGGGCGGCGCCGTTGGCGTACCAGCACTCTCTCATGATCTTAGCCATGACACGTAACGCCTGCGGAGAGGACAGATAACAGACTTCATTGCAACTCTCCGACGGAGTAGCCAGAAATGCAGTCGTATTCCACCTCGACTGACCGTTCAAAAAAATTACGCAGGGGTTCCAGGACCCCAAAAGGCTGAGAACCACCGCTTGAAGCAACAGATAAGTGAACACTGACGGTGCAGCAACACACAGAGATAACAATACTCATTCTCTACGAAAACCGTCTAACACTACTAAATCATTTTCAGCATTCGAGGTTTCACTCACAGCTTCATTCTGAAAGTATTAAAATTGACAAGAAGACAGAAATCAAGTAAAACGTCCTAAAGTGTTTTGATGAATGTCATCCGCTATCTGAAAATATGTCGGGTGGGAATCCACTCATTCATACTACCTCGCAGCTCTGCCAGCGGTTGGGAATGTTCGGACGAAGCTTCTGCTCGCAAACCACCTTCCTCATCTCCTCCACTGATGGATCTGACTGAACCAGGTCATAGTATGGTAGCTGGTAGTCCTCATGGATTCCTGAAAAAAAAGAAATATTTTTTTTTTTATAAATATAGGTCAAATTGCATGCTGCCCCCGCCCCCTCTGATCCCCACTCTTGTGGTTTGCCTGCTACGCTTTTTGGCCCTGTCCCTAATAATGCAGGCGTCAATAATTCAACAAATAACTGCACTCTTTTGTTCCATTTATCCACCATTCAGCCAGGCAATTTGTCAATCTTCCAGTCACTTGAGTGAACCCCGCGCCGCAATCGCACCTCCCATGGAGCAGCGACTGGCAATCTCCCAGAATACCAATCCCATGGCGTAGATGTCGGCTCGCTTGAAGGATTCAAAGTGTTTCATGTTTATGGAGTCATCCAGTACTTCTGGCGCCATATACCTGGAAATAAAAAAAAAAAAAAAGATCTATCGTCTGAAAACAATACATGGCACCATTTGCAGTTCAGTCAATGAAAAGAATCCAGTCGTATCCAAAGTAAGAAGGCCACCGGAAAGAAAAAGCCGAACACCAAGCATTCAATACGCCTGCTTCAACACGATACACGACAAATAGGACCAGAGACGCCGATAAAACTTGCTCAGTCTGCACAATGCCCTAACTGATAAGGCGCAGTATAATCAATGCATCAGCCTGTGCGTCTTCATTTTTTTTTTTTTTTTACTCTGTCATCTGTCACGGCCTTGTCTATATGGTGTGCTTTTTTTTCTGAAATTGTCTCAAGTCTTTTAAAAATTCATTGACCGCTAGAAAAGCATCTTTTAGCCTGTCTGCAAGACAAGTTTCTCTTCTGGACAATGAACCGTATTGAGCGCTGGACGACTGTGCGAGTCCGATAATGGACCAAAAAAAAAAAAAAAAAAACGATCATCTCCTTGCATGCATGCATGTGTGCGATCTGGCTTCCTGTGCGGTGCGCAGCACAAAAATGTGCTGCAGAGTGTACGTTGAATTTCCCCTTGAGGGACTGTAATCGGTCTAATCAATTATGACTACAATTAAAGAGCCTTTCACAGAGAATGTTTGTTGGGCTTTCCAAATAAACAGGGTAGAACGAGCTTTATTCGTTCCCGAGTGGAACTGACTCATTTTTAATCACAGAGAATGAAGATAGGACGCAAGTGTACAAAATGGATGTCTCTATCTTCAGTAGTTTTTTTTTTTTTTTTTTTTTTGCTGGCTGCTCAATAAAAAAGCATTTGTGAATGAGTCTCGACTAGAGTTGCGAGAGCCTGAGCGACTTCATCTGTCAATTATCTCTTGTGATTTGGGCAGCGACTGACATTCCACCATCTGGACGCGGAGGACTAACAACGATAACGGATGACGGACATGTGACAATGCCGATTATGTACTGAAAGTGACGAAAGATGAGCACAAAAGTCTGAAAAAAGTTTTCAAGGTTCGTACGCCGTATTAAAAGTGAGAGCATGTCCGCCTCAGGTACGGATGGATCGACGAACATGCCAGCACTCATCCGACCTCGCGAGGTGCCCGCCTATGCAGCGTCGACTTACCTTTTGGTTCCCACCCTGTGATTCGGAGCGATGTCAATGGTGTCGGTGGCCGAGTCATGCCGGACAGCGAGACCTAAATCTGCAATGCAGCAGGTTCCGTTCTTCTTCACCAGAATGTTCTTTGACTTCAGGTCTCGGTGAGCGATCGCTGGCTTGCCTGCAGGGGAGAGGCCAAAGCGTCACGTTCGCTGGCTGAAACCTAATCGATTCGCTTCTTTTCATTTCGACAATGAAAGTGGTTTTGTCTCTACTTGTTCATAAGACCCGACAAAGTCTTTTCTCGTGCGCAAAGGAACGTTATAAAACCCTGTTGTTTTCCGCGCTACTTTCTTTTGACCCTGGGGTTGTTTTCCACAGGCTGTTATCGCTAATGTACGAGATACTCCTGGCAAACGCGTGCGGTGTTTAACATTCGGAGTCCCGACATGTAGCTTTTAATTGAAGTGCTTTGCCGTGCGTTGCAAAGTACGACCTTGGAGTGAAATCAAATCGCCAGGACATCCACCACTGGGAAGATTGGCGAGTGTCATGAATGTTTTTCCCCCCACACGTAAATGATCCTTCTTGGTGTAGAAACGATGGATCCCCAAATAGTTTGATCATGGCCTTAAAAACCTTCCCAGTGAAGGGGGAGTGACAATGCGGCAGCCAAATTGCTCGTGTCGGTTCTGCTTGGCATCGGAATGAACAGTCCTGACCAGCAGTGCAAATCTGGTCCGATCAAATAGTTTCGCAGCCTTTTTGAAGATGTGAAATAAGTCTGTAAATAACGACATGGAGTAATATGTCACACAGTTCATTTGCTGAGGGGTTTAGCGGGATCTAAAGGCTCGGGTAGTGCCGAATGCTTTGGAAGCATCGCTTTGTGTTTGGAACGCTGAAAAATGATTTTCCTTTTCATGTGGTTCTGATTTTTGGATATTGAGTCTTTACAACTGCACCCAAGACTTCTTGTTGTGGCAGTACAAAACAGGTCTTTGACAGCTGGAGAGGCTCTTCAGTTTGCAGCTTTTAGCCTCAGGCAAGCTCAAGTTTGCCTTCCCGATTTGTGCGTGCGGTAGCTCAGGCAATTTTCCGTCCTGGGTAATGGGTACAAACTGATGCTATTTTGAGTTATTTTCATTTTCGCTCTCTCCGAGCTCGATGGAAAGTGTACAAAAGCATGAGACAGCCTTGCTTTTGTCAGAAGGTTTGGTAGGCATTGTGATTTGTTCGTTTTACCATCCATTTGAAGGAGGCCATTTGATCCGGGGTCATTTGAAGAGTTTCGAGACTTTTCTTGCTATTCATCGCCACTCTCACCTTGTGTGCCAACAATTTCCATGTGGAGGTGGGCCAGGCCACTCGCGGTGGACAGAGACAGCTTGATCATGCCTTCGACGGTGACAGTGTAGCGGTTCAGGTAGTCGAACAGAGAGCCGTGCTCGTGATAGTCCGACACCAGCCACAGTTGAGTCCAGGTCCCATTATCTACAGAGAGGGATAAAAACGTACGAGATTTATCGAATCGCGTACAAACACAAGTGTCCAGAATCCCCCAAAATACCTTCAATCCAGGGGCCCCGTCACATAGGGGGACACCGACTAAACATTCACTACCATGTACCCTTGTGACATATGAATGACTATTAAAAAAATAAATACAAGTAAAAACATTTCAAACTCAGTTTGAGAACCACTGACAATTTGGAACTGGTGACGTTTTTGGGAAAATGCCTCTAATATTTGCCCAACGCTGAGTAGCAGACGCAGAGGGGGCACTAATCCACACCAAAAGTTGTTTGCCGACTGCCAATGAATGTCAGGAGATGAAAGAGGAAGAAGGAGACGAGTTCACACTGTGCTAATGGCGCATTTCAATGCCAGCCAAAGATTCGAATAAGGTGAGCCACGGGTTGAAAAGACTCGGCATTTTGTGCCATTCAAAATCGACATTGAATATTGTACTGTGTCATAATAATGCAATTCTATTATTTTATGACAGCATATGTTGTGCGGACGGGCGGATAAAAAGGGAATAAACTGGAGGTCAATCGGTTTTCCGTAACAGATGTGCGCACTTTGTGTGCTCACTATGCTGGCCCTGCAAAAAAAAAAAAAAAAAAACAGTGGAATTCAAAATTGATGGGATTAAACACAAGAACCCGATAGCTGGCGCGTATCCTAAGGCCATCTTGTGACTTGGCTCCCCAGGGGGAAAAAAAATTTACGTCTGTAAAATTTGACAGGGAATATGTAATAGCATGCACGTTATTTTTTTTTTAAACTGGCTAACTAATTAAATAAATGAAAAAGAACGAGATCGAATGCGCATGCAGTGCCTTGTGCGCACGGGTAAATGCTTTCCTGTGGTCGGGTTGAACAAAAGACTCAGCCTTAAAGACACACAAAATTTTTTCTTTTCTTTCATTGTCTCAAAAGGCCCATTTACACGGGCAGTCAGTGGAGGGAATAATAAGCCATGATTACATTGCACTGCACTGCGACAGTTTCTTCTTCACGGTGGACCGCTCGGTGTTTGTGTGTTGCCTCTCGTCTTTGTTTTCGAAATTCCGTATTCAGAAAACAGCGCGCGGCCGAAGACGTGTATTGTTGCATCCGATGTCTGTGCGCGTCTTGCGGATGTTTAACAGTCTGTTGATGTCTGCTGCGTCTCCACTGGGGAGTTTTACTCCTCCACACTGTCTAGCGAGTCTGCCCGTTCCCGGCGAACAACCGCCTGCGCGGCTTCACCTGGAGCAACAATTTCCCTTTGTAGACGTAAATCTCAAGGCTCACCTGTATTCGAGCTGCCAACGCGCATATTTGCAGATGATCGCATTGTCAGAAGGAACTCTTTTTAAGGCGGCTTGAATTTATTGCGGCACTTTCAGGGACCCTATCAAACGTTCCAACATTTTTATTCCTCTCTGAAATAGTGATATTGTTCTTGAACATCGATCATCCACACGTAAGCGTCTCAGACGAGCATGCGAGCCAACTCTTGGGAGTAGCTCACCTTTGTTGTCTGCGGCGATGAAGCCCAAAATGTTCTCATGTCGCAGCATCACGGTTTGGTAGATCTCAGCCTCTCGGAACCAAGACCGCTCCTCCCGGGAGGAGAAAATCTTCACAGCCACTTCCTCGCCACGCCATTTACCTCGCCACACCTCCCCAAAACGCCCCTTCCCTATGCTTTCCTGGAGGATGATGGTCCTGGCGATGGTTCTCTGGACAAGAAGAGGCAGGCCTGTCGATAAAGCAGATTTTTTTTAAAAATTAAACGCCAACATCAACGGTAACATAAGTGAAAGTAGAAATCAATACATAAATAAAAATAAAAAAATAGAGAAAAAGTGAAAAATGTCATTTCCGAGCTCGCAAATTAAACCACAGAAGCGTTTATCCAGCTCACACGCTTCAATAATAAATTTGGCAAACTGCTGAGAAGGAAGCAAAACACCAGAATTCATTTCAAATCCTCTGCTGATACCGAGACCCCACGCAAACAGACACAAACACACAGTCTGACTGTGAAAAGTAATTAAAAAAAAAAAAAAAAGCCCACACCTCACATTGACACATTGCACCAGTCGCATGCACAATTGCACATTGTGCAATATGGTGTAAAATAGCTTGAAGGACTGGAAGCAAGCGCGCTCTTGGCAGCCTGCGAGAGGTGCCACACTCTCCACAGAGAGACGACTGAAGCCAGAACAGACAAGTGTGTGAGTCTTGCCTACGCCGAGAAAGTGTAAATACTGCAACTATGCTCTGAATTAGCTGATAGCCGATCATCTGGTCAAGTGTGAGTACATGCATATCATACACACAGAGGCATATCAACATTATATAACCGTAGGCCACAAAGACCCAAAAAAAAAAAAAAGTTTCACTCCAAATGCCCCTTTTCTCAATTTTGCGTTGGGTCTTTGCATTCCCAACAACGAGGGCAGGTTGTGGTTATGCAGGGGTTGCGCAGACAATGAAGAATGAATGTTGAAATCACATTCCTCTTGCATCAGTCACTACTGCATCATTTGACGGCAATTGTGGCTGGCGGTGCAATTTAATGTCAGACATTTGCTTGATTAAGCGGCAAAAAAAAAAAAAGCCAACTCAACCTCGCGTGTGGCATTAACTTCAATGAATCAATTATATTTTCTTGATTTAATGTGATATTAAAGCAGAACTCCAATCGTCCGAATCAATCCAAAACGCTGATTCAGGGTACATTAATAAAAATAAAAAGGAGCATCACACTCTTGACCAGTGTCTGATTCCGGATAAAACAAAAATTACAGATGCTGCAAAGAGATATCATTTTAACACTTGGTCTTAAATTAACCAAACTGCATCCAATTACTCTTCCAAGCAGAGCAGTCGCTTGTTTGGTGCACAATAATCACTCTGTTTTGTTGTTGTTGTTGTTTTTTCCCCCCACAAACAAACAAACAAAAAATGAGTAGGTCAGTAGCAGCATACCCGATCCTGAACCTGAGGTGGTCATATCATAGATGAGGTCCTTCAGGGTTGTTCCAACGGTGATGAAAGGGTGGTCCATGGAGGGATCCTCCTCGTTCGGCACGCGGTGGTGGTGGTGGTGATGGTGGGGCCCTGCCCCGCCGGCCCCCAGCCCCCGGTGGCTGTGGCAGACGTAGAACGCCAAAACCAGCAGCAAGCAGAAGATACACACCGGCCCGGCAATCACCGCGGCAAGAGCCACGGGTCCCAGAGATGGAGTCTTTGCAGTAGGGACTGCAAGAAAACAAGCGGACACAGGATATTAAATACACTTAGATACACTGACAAGTGCGAGCACAAAATATTCCAAGAATTACGTGCGGTCTCACCAGGGAAAACGGTGAGGTCAGGGTCCTTGTTGCAATAATCGGTGGTACAGCAAATGGGATAAAGGCCCGTGTCATGCTTGAAGGATGGGGCGCAGATGAAGGGTCGATCCCGCGGGAACAGCTCTTTTTCGGGAACGCACTGGCGCAGCTCCGTCGTCAAGGTGTTGCCCGTCTTGCGGATGTTGACGAAACAGACGCCATCTGTTGTGCAGCTCGAGTTGGCACTGCAGCGCTCGCAGTGACACTGGAGGGCTGGAGGGAAAAAATCAGGGCGAAAGGAGTTACAAATGAGGTAAAAGTGTGTTTTGCCAACATTAGGGAATGGAAACTCCCTGACGGAATGAGACGACACGTCAGTAAAATTGCACTTATACCACACCACGCTCCTTCGGAATGTTTGATGTGACTCGGAGTCTTGCGCCGTCAGACGGACCCCACACTCAGTGACAGAACAGCAACTGTAAGGGGAGCACCAAACTTTTTTTTTTTAATCTGATAGGATGTGCTTTGCTGTTAATCACGTCGTGAGGGGTGAGACACTCCCACCCGTAGCTACCGGTGTGTGTTGGGAGCGGCCACGCAGCAACCGATTCGAATCTGGGACGAAACTCGAAACTCCCGAGATATTAACACGGAGCCGAGACCACCCCCACGAGGCCCTCCCAGAACGTGGGAGTGGAGAAGACGGAATGTTTTGATGTGAGTCCAGACCTCCGTACCAAACGGACGCTTGTGGGATCCGTTTGGACATGCTTCATGTGATTGAGTGACCGACACAACCGTGCTTGGTTTAACTGCAGCTTTTCGGATTTGTCATCGCGGGTGACTTAATGATACGAGTAGATGACAGAAATAAGCTCAGGTTAACACGCGCTCCCGCTGTCACACGGCAGAATGATACTCCGCATTCTGGATTTGTGCATCAGCAGTCAGTGTCTTCCTGCTCTCGGTCTCCTCTCAAATAAAAATTTAACATCCTCATACAAAGTATAATACAGCTGTCCTAAAAGGCACCCCCCCCACACCCCCCATTTTCCTTTCAGATATCACTGGAACAGACACGGGGCCATCAGCGACTGACAGCTTCGCCTTTGCAGTTTTTGTAGGCACATCATAACCTTGCCCACGGCTCACGAATTGACACTGGGAAGCTGCATTGCAAAATTGCTGACTGGCAAGAACATTTCATGTCCCCGACTGCGGTTCAGCCCCAGTTTCGGAAGCTTTACGGCCGTCAAACTGCTCCATAGTACAATTAACATGACCAGTTTCTCGAAACAGAGTCTGTTCTTGATACACCAGGCAGTGGAAGCTTGCTACTACCACCACTGATGAAAAAAAAAAAAAGGAAAAAAATGCTGGCGCAGGTGCTCGCACAAAGCCAGGGAAAGAGTGTGAATCACTCCTCCATTATTGACAAACGTACCCTCGGCTCTTGGGGAAATTAGCGGTTTGGTAGCGACGGGTCTTTCATCTCTTTGGTCGGGTAAACTGACACAACTGTCAAACGTGGGGGGTGGGGAAATGAAACCCAGCGGGCATTCTTGAGGCTGAACGAGAGTCTCCGACGTTGGTGGTTAGGTGCGTCGTCTCCAACACTGGGTTGATTGGACCCTTCTTCTTCCACGATGTAGCCGGTAACACAATCATCAACATTTTTGAGGCCGTTTTGATGAAAGTTTCAAATTGGCACTGAACTGCATGCAGGGACAGAAATGGAAAAAAAGAAAACGATTTTGCAACACTACTCCAAAGCCAATTGGGAAGCCACATGCAGGTCCTTTGTGATGCACTCGACACGTACGGGTCTCTTATTGCCAAGACTGGATTCATGTCGACATGGCCTCATTTATTCATTATCCTTAAAGTGTCCTTCCCCCGAGCACAGACTAGACAGTAGCTCATTGATATATCAGTCGTGGCTGACTAGGTTAAAACAAAAACAACACACCTAGTAGGACAAGATCTTTAAATAATTAACCCGGCAAGACTATGCATAGCCTGTGATATATGGCCGCCGAGAGGAACAGTATGAAAATGACACCGGTGGGATTCTGGTGAGACATCTGCAAAGTGGTGCTACAAGAAAATGTGAAGAAAAAAAAAATGTTGGCAGTCAAGGAATGATTTCATCTACCAGCAGACTTCCTCGTCCTGGAAATGAGGGTGAAGTCCAGACAGACGTTTTTTTTTTTACAAGTATTTGTGTGCCCGTGTGCTGCATGTGATGGGCGGGTCACTGGAAAAAAAAAAAAAAAAAACTAACCTCAAGCCACCAGACAGCTAAATAAAAGCCAGATGACACTGATCTACTCTGACTCAACCTCAGGACAAGAGAATTCTGTCTGTCGCATCAAGAGACGAACATGCGCAGACAGCAGTCTAGACAACAAAATAACTTCCGCCAAATCACCTGGGAATGCTCCCGGTTTACGCGGTTTCTGCGTCAAGCAAACACAGCGGCACACGGGTGCAAGCATTTTTCTCAAATTCATGCATTGGGTCAAATTTCGGGAAGTGATACCGTCAATGAAACAGAAGTCATGCTGAAGTAGTGCGTTGACGAAATGTACCCCGTCCCATCCAAAAAAAAAAGAAAAGAACAGCAAAGTATTTATGATCCACGTCAGCTGAAGGGCACCTGGACAGTAGTTTGAAACAGACTAACATCCCTTCAACATGTACCTGCCATTTATTGGTCCACGGCATTCAATTTATTTCCCCCCCAGAGGGACTTGAATGGTGACGCTCCAGTTCAAACGTGCAAGTCCTTCGAGAAATATGAAAGGGCAGACAGGCAAGGTCAGTCTCAGTTCCAATACAGTTAACTTAATCTAAGACAAAAGCTTTGAACGACGCCAGTGAGGGAGGCAGACGAAACAAACAAAACATGGAGCAAAAAGTTTGCTCCGTTGCTCCCAAGGCTTTTTTTTTTTTTCCGGCTTCGAAGAAATTGTGCGTTTGATTTTCTCTTCTTAAAGTCCCTTTACAATCACCCGTAAATTGATGCTAATAAAGCTTCGTATTGACGACCAATTGTTTCACTTCAGTGAGACATCACTAATAAAAGTGATGTCAAATGTATTCTATTGTGTGGAGAATTACACCAATCGTTGACTCATGTTAATGATGAACAATAATCCAGATCGTAAGAAGCAGCGCGCACCCTCCAGGTGGCCAACAATTTGAGATTTTAGCGTACAGTTAAACAACAACGTCAGCGGCGTTATAAAAATTTCGATCCCCCCCATCTGTGTCGGAAACTTTCAAATGTTTGCAATTTCAGACGATGAAAATGCCGTTGTAAAGAAAACGGGATGGCCAAGACGACAGCTTTATTCATTCTTAGCAGA